CTATCGGAAACTTATCTTTAACGGTGTGGGTCTTTTTGTGCGCTAATGAGATGACGTCAGAAATGCTGAAGTTAATGGAGATAGTGAGCAGTTCTTGAAGCCAAAGAGTTCGTTTCGAGCGAAGTTACGACTTTTTCAGCCGATGCCAAATTCTAAAGTACTCACAGAAACAATATCCCACCCCTTCCCCTGCCCACCCCTGCAACATCGTGGCCGAAATGCTGCAATCGAGCATTCTTGAACAGTGCAATACAAAATTGATAAACCGAAATCGAAGTCCAAAAGCAATAAGACCCTATGCCCATTGCCAAAATTGTATCTAGTGTTTGTGGATTATACGACTTGGAGGAGGAGGTGGTGGTGTAGGCAACTGGCACCCCTAGCTACGCATACGGTCGGGGATCAAGTCCCGGATCAGCTCCCACCCAGGTCAACCAAGCCTTCTAGCCTCTGGGGCGGAAAATTGAAACCAGGTTTGCTGGGAGAGTGAGAACACTGTTTTTTCGGCTGGCCCCCGCAAGTCATTGTATAGGCCACTTCGCATTGAATAAGTCACTGCTTGAGTTGATTCTGAATAGAAGTAGGAGAAATGTCGTTATCATTTTATCCCTTAGGTTGTTCGGGGGAAGAGTTACAAGGTTTCCGATCTAGATTATTCCCTCTTTGGAACGTTGCACTCATTCTGTTTCCCTTCGGAATCGTAGTCCTCAGTGTAGTGTGACCTATTCAGTGACCCTGAGGAGGGGAGACTGGGTGTTAATACCCTCTCAGACTCTGGTACCAATTTACCTTCAGAGATAGAAGGGTTGGCTTGCCTGGACGGGAGCCGATCCTCGATATGACCCTCGGACCGCACCTGGTAAGCAGCTACTTTTAGCGCTAATCAGCAATATAAACCAGAATAAGCCAAAGCGTTAGCAATAAACCCGCTTCAGAATTGGTAACGAGATATTCCCGAAGGAGGGAAGCTCTACAATTCTGCCGTTGAGCCTTTAGCTGGTGTAAAAATATCTCATACTATTTAAACAAGTGTGAAGAAGACTAGCTGCATTCAGAATTCTATCCGGGATTGGCTATCTCTGTCGTGATGATGGCCGTCGTCACGTATACTGCTTATGTATTAGGGCTCAGTTGGAATATTCTGTTGAATACATGGCCAGAGTATCGAGAACATTGCCGGAAACCATACCCTGAAATCGGGTACCGCGCTATGGGCAGAATCGTCAAGTAAGTTTAGCTTTCATTCATGACTAATATCCGGAGAAATACCAGGGCATATCGTTGTTGGGGAATCCCTAACAGGGGGTCGCATTTGGTCGCCGGGAGAAGGTGGGAGTCGTAATTGGGCTGAGAAAAATTTCTTTTGATAGTTGATTTTTCCCGCTTCACGGACGCTGTAGGAGGGAGGGGGGCGTACTTGCTCATCGTTGGGAGGGTGGGGTCGTATTTACTCTCTGGCTTCGTAGAAGTGCTGGGAGTGGTGACTGACTTTTCGGTAATTTTCGCATGTTTTCGTATGTACTGATATACCCCTCCAACGCACCCCCCCCGCTCGAACGGCTCGATCCTATGAGCAGGAGGGACAGGGAGGCGGAGGGCGGAAGGTCGTCTGCGAAACCCGCAGAGAAACAGGAGGGGGGTCGTGCGGTAGCATCGACCAAAATGATTTGTCGCTGGCAGATACCAGCAAATACTATCAAGCTCCTTTTCTTTGGTTATTTCAGTAGCGGCAGAGTGAAAAGATCGCACTAAATCACCTGTTGTGCACGAAAAAGAGTCTGTGGCTGCTGTCCCGCGATAGTCAGAAAGAGTGAAAAATGTCTGTGACAAAAAAGGGAAGCAAGGTTGTGGGTATAAAACTATATTCGTTCCGTGAATCAGTTACTGCCTTTGAAACATCGTACCCAGCGTCAACATTTTCGCTAAAGATATTTGCGCGTGTGGGCAAGGTATTGAGTAGATGCGATTTCTACGGAGTAGTGCGACGGCGATTTGGAAGAAAAACAAATGAGGTTAGAACACCCAGCCGGCAAGGGTTCTCTCCACGCTTCCTGAAACCGTTCCGGCTGATTCATGTTAGCTAAACCTACTTGCCCAGCTGCCTACCTACCCACCCATATGCTACCCACCACGTACAGCTACCTTGCTACCGACTTGCTCTTTAAGAGAATTTAACAGACCACCGCTTCCCATCCGATAAATGATGCAACTGTACCATTAGGATACGTTGTTTCGATATGTATAGATAACCGCCCCCCCCCCCCCCCCCCCCATACTCATTTGGTATAGCCGTAGTGTACCTGTTGCTGGCCTCTAAGAATATTCACGACATGATCAAGGTGAAAAATTTGTTCCACATTGTTCTTTGTCTTCTTCAGAATACTTCTGAACAATTAAATTACAGACTTTTTCTGATGCGGAGTTCAGTTACTGTTTTGTGGTTATTATTCTTGCTGTGTGCCTTCTACCAATAACATTTCTCAAGTCACCACAGGATTTCTGGTTAGTTCATCCGGGGAATTTCTTACAAAGAAAAGTATTAGATAAAGTAAATCAAGTGGGCTTGTTCAGAAAAGTTAGTTTTGAATGGGATTTGTTTGAGTTGTTCTAAGCCGACGAAGGGATAGGAGGGGTGTGAAGGACCAGCGCCGAGCTTCTCAATTCATGTTTATGCTTTGAAACGATCTCTGTGGTCAATGGCGGAGTGCTAATACCTTTTCAGGTGGGCAGTCGTGATCGCCATGATCACCACTTCTTGTGCAGTCGTACTGATTATTGTCGGCGCTTCGCTGGACTATGGACTATGTTCTGGTTATACGTGAGTATCATTCACATTGCACCCTTCATGGATGACAATCTACGAGCAAGTGCTAGCACCCCAAAGTCCGTTAGTGAGTCTGTCATTAGATAAGGCTGCGTTTATACTTTAGCAGCGTAGCGTAAGTAGCGCTTACACAAGCATAAACGCCAGCGGCAGTGGCCGGGGAGAGGATGCATATCGGATCTAGCGTTCCCAGCGTCACCAGCTATGGGAGAGCTGGAGGGTACAAAACACATCGATTGCGCGTCTCTCACGGCCACATAGTCTCTACAATACACTTCGATTGCGCGTCTCTTACGGCCCCATAGTCTCTACTCCCCTGCCGCTGCAAACGCCAGCAAAACGCTGGTGAAACGCTGGCGAAACGCTAGCGTTACGCTGGTGACGCTGGGAACGCTAGATCGATATGCATCCTCTCCCCGGCACTGCCGCTGGCGTACGCTGGAAGCGCTACGCTACGCTGCCGCAAAGTATAAACGCGGCC